AGATCCATATCCTTCCACTGTCCGAATATTGAGCGAATCTTTAATCGTCTGAGAACAATACGGTCTTCCAAAAGTCCAGAGGCTTGGTCATCATATCACTTACCCACTTCTTTCGTCTGACTATGTTGGCAGGTCTAAATAAGGGCTTCCGTCTAGCTGCTCTGCAACGATAACCCGATAACCCAATCTGTGGAGAATCCGTTGAACAGATTTCGGGCTCATCCCACCAACTTTGGCCACTTCTGCAGTTGTTAATCTGGGATCCATTTCGATGCTCCTTTTCACAGCCCTTTTTGTCCTCTCTGATGGACCAGGATGACCCGGACACTGCTCAGTTGTTTCTTTGCTGTGTTTCCTGAACTGCACGATGATTCTGTTGACTGTTGAAAGCGGGAATTCCCAAATTCTGCGAAATTTGTCGCTGACTTATTCCACTATCCTCTAACAAAATCTGACAATTCGAGAAAACCTTGAGTTCTAAGCATGTTGTAGCACAAGATAATTAGTGTGTGGACCATTTTCATTTATATAGTGCTCTGTGAACACAAATTAGTTATCATAAATCAGTTAAATGATGAAAAATTAGGTGTCTATTTACTTGTGACCACTCAGTGTATACTTATTAACTAATATTTTCACTAGATACACTAAAATTGCAAAGGATACAAGTTACATGTATTTTCATTATATAAAATTGCAAAAGAAAAAGATTACATTTATTTTCATTACTTAAACTACAGAATTGTAAAGGAATCAAATTACATTATGTTCCATAGCAAGCCTTCTAACAGCTGGTGTTGCTAAAACTTTGTCTGATTGGCCAAGGACTGAATCAAGACCTTGACTGGAAGGACCAATATCAATATCTTCATCTTTCTGGTTTACTGGTTCTGAAAATTGTAAGATTTGAACGATTTTTGCCACCACTGATACTCATACAACAAATACTTTTGCCATTCTGTGTTTAAGGTGTAGCTAGTAATTAAAAAATCCTTAATAACAACTAATTTCTCAGATAATTGTCCATACTTATAAAGAAAATATCAGTAGAGTATAAAGTGTTTGTGTTAACACAAAAATTTGTGTCCTCAACAGAAAAAACTTGTTCTGTGTGCACTAGACAAAATAATAAAGTACGCAGTATCTTAACCCTATCAAGACCAGTAGGGTATTGCTGATATCACTTGACTTTTTTCCTTTTGACTATGGAAATGCTTAACTAAATTGTATAAAACTTTTAGAATCAACTTACTAAATACTTAAATCTAGAATCTAGTTTTGGCTTAAATAAATTCAATAATTCAACTTAGTTTTTCAGTCATTTTCTTATATTTAAAACACCCAAAAAATTTGTTATGAAACGTTTTTTGTTGTTTTTTTAATATATTTTCAAAACGAGTTCCTTTCATTGTTTAATTTAATTATTTTAAATGTTCATAATCACATTTTTGATTTGCAAATAAACCACATGGCTGAATAACACAATGACAACTTGATTCTTTCAATGAATGGGCTCAACGTTGAACAATTCCACTATAGGCAAGTGATCAAAATCTTTACTACTGCAGACAGGTACAAGTTCTGACTTTAAACATGTAAAGTTGCTTCATTTGAAAAACATGGTATTAATGTTCTATCAAGATATTTTTCCATTGTGTTAGTGTTAACCTTTTAAATTTTGGTTTCCTTTATTTACTTTTTTATTGATTTTTGATTAAATATGACTGAAAATAAAAATTCATGATACAATGTTACTTGTTTTGTAATTGAAATCTAAAACTTATACAATTCAAAAGTGGCAGCTCAGTATTTACTTCTTACTAAAACCTGAATTTAAGTTAAAAAATAAAGCTAGTTATTAAGAAATGAAAAAATATTTTAATGTAAATCAGTTTTACAACTTGTATAAATTGAACCTGATACATTTGTATTTCAAGTTATTAACTAAAGTAATACTTTTCAATATCAGTTAAAAAATAATGCATATGTAATTTCTATGAAAAAAAAACTGTTCTACATGTTACAAATCAAACTTAATATACGTAAATTTTAATCAGCCATTTTTTTTTTTCTGGTGAACAACACAAGTTATTATCAACTTTGAACAAGATCTAGTCTGGATATATATCAATTTATAGCACTGAATACACAGATGCTTCAAGCATATGTTCCAACACTTCAAAACATGAGATTGGCATTTCTTAACAGCAGTGAATAATATATTTGATGCCCATTGAGCTATATTGCAACAAAACTAGTGAAAATCATACATACATGTATGACTTCTTGTCTAAAAACTTGCGAATAAAGAAACCTCAAACATAATTTAATCTTCTGACACATGACAAAGCATAAATCAAGATAAATATATGATTTAGGGTGACCTCAATTTTATTCAAGCTGAAAGGCCATGAAGTTACGTATAGTTAAAAGTGTTATCTCAGAAAAATCGCAAAATTCCATTAATTTATTTTATACAAACAGTTGTTTGGCACATGCATTTTGGAATACACAGACAAAAAAGCTAGAGCAGCTACTGAGCATAGAAATAAATTTAGGTCAATAAAACTATCATAATTACATATTCCAAAAAGTACAAATTAAAAACAAATGGTTTACTTATAATGTAGGTTCTTAACAGTACAAAATTTTATATGTTTAAGTTTTCCTCTTGCTGTTACTTCAGCTATAGCAACCACAAACAACAACTGTTTCCAAAAACCTAGCCAATCAGATGTTATAAGTCATAAGATATTATTTTCCTACAATGAAAAGAATTGCCAATAGCTACTTACCTTTCCTCACATAATAGCTATTCTTGTTCAGTGCTGCCCTCTATATATAAAAGTTGTCGTATTCCACAAGCCTTGAAACTCCCACATACCCTACAATCTATGTGGTTTATTATGTCTTTGTATGAAAATCATCATACAACAATCATCCACCAATAGGTTTGCAACACACCTTCCTGATGCATGTGACTCCCTCTATTTGATTCTACCTAACCATAGCTTTGAGATTAGGCAGAAATTAAGCATGGTTTTAAGTGGGGAGGAAGAGTGGGAAGTGTGAAAACAGATAAGTACCTATTTGAAATATATTTTCAGTGTAGGAAAATAATAACTTCTGATATGGTACCTTACCTCTTCTCACATAATAGCTAAAATCCCACATTGAAAAGATGGAGGGACCATTGTGAGGGATATAGATAAGCATCCTTTGAGAGCACCAAAAAACACCCATGGAGTGTGAACTCCTGTTGGGAAAGGAGCATACACGGGAGACTGCACCACTTCTGTACCAGATGTACTCTTCGTCCAGTGGGGTAATAGGTGTTGCATAAACTAGTGGAAATTGGGAGGAGCACATTCAGCAAATGAGAGAAAAAATCAGGGCAGCTCCAGCCCTACATCCCATTGAAATCACCAGAATACTAGTCCAGGATAAGAATGAATGTAGGGTCCCCAGCCACAGATCAGATGGTGGTGAAAACTAAAATAGATGTGCTCTTTGGTGTAGAATGACTAGGGTGTATCAGACTGTACTCGACAGGTTAACTCCAGTCCAAAACCCGGTGGCATCAGGCATACATAATCCAATCTGTGGTAGGAGGAGGATCCATACTGTCTTTACCTCAAGTTCAGTAGAATGGAAGGAGAAAAATTCCATACCAGTCGACTAAACAGGGCATAGGTGTTCAAATCCACAACCAACAACAGTTATCTGGTAACCTGACATCTGAACAACAAAATGTGGAGGTTCACTTCAAATCTGAAACCAATTGGACCGGTAGTGAACCTCTCTGAGATGGAGTGTCAGAGAGACAACAATCGCCCTGCACAATGTCATCCTCTGGATAGGACCACAAATAAGCTGGAGCACACAGATGACCTGCCGACACCTCGAGCAACCACAGAGCTGGAGAAAATTGAACCGGATCCACACTACCTCAACCTCTGGGACCCACAGCACATAGGTAGAGAGCATGAGGCAAAAACCTGTGACAGAGGAAGAATGAGGAATCATGCCCAATACATGTGAGGATTTATGTTGACAGGTCCAGCTTTAATCCAAAACTACTAACTGGGAATCTACATCCTGTCAATGGTAGAACAAGGGATCCCAATTGGAGAGGTGAACTGCAACGTAGCATATGTACTTGAATTCATGGAATATACTATTGTGATATATGTGCAACATCATCTCCCAGGCAGGACTGCACAGAAGCTAGAATACATGGACACACATCTACCTCTGGGACCCACTGCATAGAAGCTAGAATACATGGACACACATCTACCGTCCCACTGCACAGAGGTGGAGTGCATGTTTGTTTGTTTTGAATTTTGTGCAAAGCTACATGAGGGCTATCTGGGCAAGCCATCCATAATTTAGCAGTGTAAGACTAAAGGGAAGGCAGATAGTCACCACCGCCAACTCTTCGGCTACTCTTTTACCAACGAATAGTGGGATGGACCATCACATTATAACACTCCATGGCTGAAAGAGTTAGCATGTTTGGTGTTACTGGGATTCGAATATGCAGATTGCGAGTCGAACTCCCTAACCACCTGGCCATGCCGGGCCTGGAGTGCATGAGTGGAGTAACTATGCCATCTACACTGGCAGAACACCACCACCCTCCTCTCTACCAAATGGAAGTGAGCATGTTCAGGAGCAACTTGCCTCCATGGCCCACCACCCCAGTGGCGAGGAACTGGAAAGTGGCAAGGACTCTCATACTCCACTAGAAGAAATTTGGGGGAGAAACGTGGTGGAGAGTCCAGAGGTATTCCAACACTGAAGAAAGTAAAATGGGTGATCACGAAAACCCTATTTTGAAAAGCAGACCATCCCCGATTTCAACTGAAGTGACAACAGGGATGGGCAACACTCCCCTTTTGCTATACCCATGAAAGCCCATGGATTAGTACAGTTTGAAATAGACATGTGAATGAAGCAAAATACCACGAGGAAAACTATTATCGATTTAGTGGAACACCCAATCCTGACAGTGTGCATTGTTTGCCATGGGTATACATCAAGATTGGTGGGATTAACCTCAACCTCTGGAACCCATCGCACGGAGATGGAGAGACTGAGTCACAAGGCAGCAGATAATATACCGTGGTACGACTTCTGGTCAACTGTACAGTGCAGATTTTTGAAATGGATAAATAAGTAGCATACCTGGACGAACAACCCTCACCATTGAATGAGATCTTAGACATAAAGAGGACATGCCACTGTAAGCAAAATTAACATGTATAAAAAGATAACTTATCAAGTCACAGTCAACCCAATGTTTAAAGGATGGTGACAGGCAGAAAGTGGTACCCCAATGAGGGACATTACGACATTCAAAGTAGTGCTAACTGTAGCTAACATCATGACACAAAATTCTGAGTTCATATTTGACTGTGAGAAAAGCAAGAAAAAAAAACTAAGTAAAGGTAAGTTTTCTTGACCATAAACTATAGTAAAGAAACTGTAGAAAAAACAATTAGTAAAACCTTGACAGCACTATTTAAAAAAAAAAGAGATAAAACATTCCCAATAAATAAAATGTCTGCACAAGACTATTGCCTAACAAGAAGTGATGGTTAGGTAGAACTGAATAGAGGGAGGAGTCAGGAGGATGTGTCACACTCCTATTAGTGGAGGGTTATCACATGATGATTTATTTGTGAAGACACAGTGAACCACATTGATCATGGGGTAGCTGAGAGTTTCAAGGCTTGTGGCACATGAAACAATTTTGCATATAGAGGGAAACACTGAATGAGAATAGCTATTATGTGAGAGGAGGTAAGGTGCCATATCATATATTTTTTCTTTATTTTTATATATAATATTCATTAGTATGAAAATTATTTTCCTGAAAACACACACACACTGTACCATAAGTATATAAAAATTAAATTACTAAAGACTTTGATTCCATTATTAAATGTAACTTATCAATCAATACTAGTAATCAATGAGTAATTATTTTAGATAATAATACTACATAAAATATGGCTGAAAGTGTTGGATAAAATACTTTGTGAATAATAAGAAAAGCTGAAAATAATAATAAACATATATATCTTATCCAGAAGTAATTTTTCACTAAACATTACAGCTAAGTTCAAAACCAATTAAAACATTTACCAGTAGTATCTCCATCAAGCTCTATATCAACAAGTGGCAATCCCACCTTTGCAATGTCATCAACTTCATGATAAATCTTCGTAATTATGCCATCATAGCGACTAGATATGGTAACAGATGCTTTATCACTTTGTACTTCACAAATACTATCAAATTGGTTTACTTTGTCTCCAACCTTGACAAACCTGCAAAAAAATTTAAAATATAGTGACTGTTAGGAAAATAATGAGAAATTTTATTAGAACAGTAATAACAAAAATCAATTTTAATATAATATGCTTACACACTATACAAGAACTTAGATATAAATTAACTACTTTAACTACCAATTAACTACCAATATCTCATTAACCATTTATCGAACTTCAAAAAATTCAATTTTCTTTTTAAAAATTAAGTTGAAATATTTTTAATATTTATGTACTTTCTAAGTAAAAAGATTTTCAATTCATTTTGATAAACTTGAAAAATTTATAGGTATCAAGAATTAACAAAGGCCCTCTCAAAACCTATTTATTAATCCCTGTTCTCAATGATAACAGTTACAAAATTTCAATGTTTAAATTAATGTAATTTTTTTAAAACTTCCAAACATATGAAACTTGACAAAATAATTCCATGAAATTAAAATGTGAATTCAATTATTGTATTATTTAAGTCAAACTTTAAATTTCAGTTATGATTAGCATAATTACAAAACAAAAAAAAAGAAAATTTATGAGATTTGTTTTACTTGATTAACATACAGCAAAACTCCAAACCTTAATTATGCAAAGTAATCTCACCACTCTTTAACAGTCACTTCTCCTATCCCCTCTCCAATGTCCGAGAGTTTAAATGGCACCACTTCTCCATGATTAGCTTAAAAAATTGTCCATTTTTAAGATAATTAGAATAAAACCTTGAATTTATATAATGTTAATTTCAAGTGTGACAAAAACAAATTTTATAAAATGAAATAGAATTTTTCTAAGAGAAATGTACTAACTGATACTCAGCAAAACTAACTTAATAATCATCACCCTTAGAAAGAAACTACTATAAACAATAGAGTTATGTTGATAACTTATGTGAAATATTTTAGAGACACTCAATGAATATTAGTAGATAAAGCTAATATGTAAAACAATTATGTATTTCTTTTTTTAGGTACATTGTGTTACTTTATATAGAGAAGTAGGCTTCATTTGGAGTATTGTGTTCAGTCTTGGGTTCCTTACTTTAAAAAAGTCAATAAACTGTTGGAAAGAGTTCAGGGGGCTATTAAAATATCTTGGATGGAAAGTTTATAATATGAGTACAGGTTAATATCTCTGAATTTTTTTTTTCTCTTGAAGAAAGAATAGTCACAGGGGATTTCATTACAGTGTTCAAAATTATTAAGAGAATTTATAGTACTGATGTATAATCTTTTTTTTCATATGTAATGGGAAAGAATGGTAAGACAAGGAGAAAAGTATAAATTTTACAGTTACTTTAACAGTTTTCTAACATGGTAGTTGGTCTTTGGAATGGGTTTCTTTTCAATGAGGTGGATGTGGTAAATTTAAGGAAGATTAACCCTTTAACAATGATGCACTTTTTAAACTCCTTTCTGTGCATGTCAATGTGTTACCTTCAAAATGTTATTAATTATATCACCCATGAGTACCCATTGATGTGTGTCAACATAAATAATCAATGGTAAAGAATAGGAAAGGAAAATAAAACATTAAAAATAAACTATAAGTGAAAAGGTGAAGATGTAAAATTACACACATGACCCAAAGAAGATATTTTAAAATTATTCAATGAAGAGTTAAAAGAGTTCTATTTCTTAATTTTAAGCAGTTCTTGCATTGTACATTTATGATAATAGCTAGAATTAGTTGTATGGTAGAGAAAATGGAAAATAAAATATAAACATTTACTTCACAAAAACTTTTGATATTTGTTTAGGATGTTCTGGAGATTATGCAAGTGAAATGTGAAAACTATAAGGTAATAAATGCTACTTTTAAACTCCAAATGAAAATCACCTTACCAGTGAAGTATTCAGAGTCTAAGTGCAAATAACTACATTAAATAAATTTTTATTTGAAATAGAATAAAAAACAAAATTAAATATTTTATTGTTCTCAAACTAAATACTTTTATGAATACTTTTTGCTTGAACTTACAGAACTTCTTAACCTGACAGGAACTTGCTGAAAATATAAATTGATTGAAGAAATCAAGTGCAGTTATACTTGAGTAACTTGTCTGTTATGTTTCGATGAATGAATATTTAGTATTGACTCCTGATCAAAGCATAGATCAAATTACAAGTTAACCCAGTAATGAATATATCTAATTTAATATATAATATTAATCAACTGAGTACTCAAGATATGGCTAACTTAAGAGATTTAAGATAGTTCCAAATCCTTATATACTAAGCTAATTTTGCACATTAATTATTATGGTAAAAAATATATAGTAATAACAAATACACAAACACTTGTATATTAAACATTCTAACCAATACTGTTGACAGTAGCATTAAAAATTTACAAATATTATTGTTTAATAAAATAAAGCAATATAACCTAGTCTTACAACAATCAACAACTTTAATATAACCAGCTAACAATGTAGATGTCACATATCAGAATCTGTTCATAATGATAAACAAAAATATGAAATGTGAATAACACTCCCTTTTCCTTACACATTTTCACTACATAAGACTAATCTTGCAATTTTGAGTTACTTAAAACTATCAAGGTAAACTACATTCATCTGTTCCCATTTGTATTTTTTCATCTTACTGTAAAACCATCATACCCCAGGCATATGGATATATGGACATTTTACATAATACAATAAAATTAGTAATGCAAGATAAAAAATAATTAATTCAATAAAAATATATATATACCTGTCGATAAATAAAACGATCTTGAATTAGATATCTTGCAGAAGCAACTACTGGCTGGAATAGGGTACATAACATCAGGGATGTTTTTTGATGCATAAAAGGAATACTGACAGCAGCCTTCCTTCTAAATAAATAAAAATAACATATGTATATCCATATACAATACCTCCACGGCCATTAGAAAAAATATAACCTGTATTATCTATTCAAATGAATAGATAATACTCAACAACAGATAAATCTATACATTTTAAAAAAGCTCCAATATAACAGAATAAAAAATATATATACAATGTGTCATTCATAAGCTTTAGTGAGCAAGCAGGTATGATCACATAATATGAAAGGGTCAGGACAAAATAAAAACTCTGAAACAGATATCATATTAGGTAAAACTTAGGTATATGTTGTTCCAAAAGTCTTGAAGCACAAAATAAAAAATATATATATTGAATTCTTAATCAGTTAAAAAAGAACTTCAATATAATATATTGTGAAGAATTAAATAACAGAAACCCTGAAGAAGACTGGTAGCTTTTTTTTATTTATTTATTTATTTCAAAGGACAATAAGATAACAGATCAGATTATTAAAAAATAAAAATAAATCTTTCAAAATAGTTTTCCAAGTAATGTGCTAAGAAAGACTGAGTTTGGATCCTATGAATAAAAAAATACCAATATATGTTCTAAATTGACAAAACTAAATGTAGAGAAAGAAATGGTTAACTGAATAATTTTTGTTGGTGTCACAGTTGAAATACCTGCTAATTTCACCCTTCCATAACTAGTTTAGAATATATATGTAGTAAGGCTTATTCATTAATTTTCTAAACATTTATGTAGGTCTTCTGAACGTGGTTACGACATCCTTGTAAACCAGACATACAAGAGTCATGAACTCATACTTATCTGTATCAGACTTCCTAGAGAAGGGTTTTACCCATTACAAGTGATAATACAGAGACCTGTATAAGTTGGGGTTTCTCTCATTGACATAGGTAACCTAACATTTTGAGGATATACCACTGACTCTGGTCTGACTTACAGGTATTTTATTACATTATTCTTTTCTTTTTCCTTGTCCCATATATAAAACTTTGGTAACTCTCTCTCTTTCCAGTTCTCACACAGTAGCCATTTTGAATTCTAATGAGTAAAAAGCTAGCCAGTAAGTAAAAACATAAACAATACTGTGAATAAAGTTATTGTTTTATTTGTTCTGTTGGTTGTTTTTCTTTCTTGCCCATATTAAGTTTAATACCCCGCATAACATATCTAGAGTCTGTGTTTCTATTATACTTATAATTACCTGAAGGACATCAGTATACCTGAATACTGCACTGACATGACACATTTCAGGTATTAATAAGTTTTATAAGAAAAACAAAATCAACATTGCAATGACATTTATTTTTAAGTACCAATAAAAGAATAAAAGTATTTTAGTACACATATTTCTCATTTATAAACTTTTCTACTAAAGTTTCGAAGGAACCTACTTTATCAACAAAAAAATTATATTTGGTAAATTATTTATACATTTCTATCTAATTCTTTAGGAAAAATATAATAATGGTTTTCCAAGTTTATACATTTTTACATTTGATATTTAATTTTCAACTACTAAACTTGAATAAGAAATAAATTGTTAAGGTCAAATGTACAAACCCACATATATATCAAAAAACAAAATTATGTAAGATATTTGAAAGAAGTTGAAATATAAAGCTGGTGATGGCACGATCCAATATTTTTGATAAAATCTTTAATAATGTTACTAATTATTGTCATCCTAACATGTGTTTACAAAAATAATGATAATTATAAGTTACAATAATATTTTTATGGTTAATGGCTTAGTATGTTGCATTGTCCACTTGCAACTATCGTTACCTGGTTTGCCTATTTTATCTTGTAACCAATTGCTACATTCTGATAACAATTATTATGATTATGATGAGGCAGAGTATTCTGGACTGCAGCATAAGCATTACTGTTTGTAAGAAAATTGGAAGAAGTTTCATATCTGATACACCCTTAACTAAATGCAGAAAAGATCCTGCTGTTGTTCTGGAAATAATTTTAAGTGAAAGAGTCAATATATAAAATACAACATTTTTCTTTTGCAAGGCATGATTAAGACTTCAAAAAAGGAGACTTAACAAGCATGCCAACTTTATAACCAGTTCTTAAAAAATAAATTAATACAATGCTTATTACTGATAACTGGTGTGACTATTTCGTTTGTATTTTATTCAGAATTTTTTTTTATATCTTAACATTAATTTACTTCTTGTATTATCAAGTCTTCAATAAAGATATTTTCAGTGTGATACAATATCATAAGATTTAAATAAAATGAAAATAATGGGCTCTGTGTTTTAGTTACCTCTTAAACAATGGTCTTAAGTCAAATGGTAAAAATCTCCTTTTGAAGGTTAATTAACCTCATAACTGAGACTAGATCTTCTTCATAGGAATTTTTAATTTATTAAAAATGTGTAGTTGTGGCAAGTAAACATAGGAATACACATCATCAGTAATTTCCTGAATTGGTAGATAGCATTAGCCACTGTATAAAAGTTCTATGAATGTTTGCACTTTCATATCTATTATATACCAGCAGAGACCCACAAAACATTTGTGGCCAATTTAGTATCTATATTCCAACAGTACTTCTTTAAATACAGGATTTCTAGAGTAACACAAAAGAATTATAATTGAAGACACTGAAATCTACAAGTCCACTTTTCTTAGTCCTAACATTATTTAAGCCTTTATTAAGTATGTCTTATATTCGATAAAAAGATAAATTAACACTGTAACTTGTGTACATTTTTTGCTAAACCTTACCACACTTAATACTATCAATAACTAATCTTATAATATTATTCTACGAACTAATGTTAGACTTTTTAAAAACTTTGATAAGCTTTTAATATGTTGTATAAAATGTTTACTAAAGTATATTTACATCCATCCTGATGTAACTTGATGATTTAACAAAGATGTTTTCAAATTGTGAAAAAGATGCATTTTTTTTTTTATTATTTTAGTCCAAACATATCTTTAATTTTCGATCAATCATAGACTCCTGACTTCTAACTGACAGGAAGCTAAACTACTTAAATTACATAAGTTGCTATGACATCAGTGTGTGACCAAGAGACAGACAGACAGACAGATACATACTGTGTTTTATAGTATTAGATACTTTTACCAGATGTTATTACTCTGTGTCTATAAATTTTATATTTTTGTGTGATCACAACAAACCCTGATGACACATTATAGTGAAAAATTACAATTTAGATGGCATTATATATTTATCTATGATAAATTTTCAAAAATTTTCATAATAGTTACTAGATATCTTAGTTTTAGCCCTTTTCTTTTCTGTCCTGATGAGAAACAGTAATGTATCTCCATGTCAGTTTGATATGTATGGTTTGTCATTATACATGACTCTTTTACATTTTGAATACTTCAACTATGTCACCCATGACCCCTTTGCTTTAAAAGACATCCTAGTCTATTCATAAAAACAACCCATCTATCTTTAGAATCATCATATTTCTAGTAGCTGCTGTCCTCTGAACTCTTCAATTATGCACTCATTCCTAAGATAAAGATACCAACACAATACTCCAAATGAGACATATAATGTACCTGACTAAAAAATCTAGTTATTTCAGACTGTTATTGTATAACAGACCTTGTCCAGAGTTCAGCCTTATCAATAACATTAATAAAACTGTAATCACTATCCTAATATATTTATATATATACAACCCAAAATTTCCAAAAGTTTATTAGTTTTTCTCCTTTCAGTTCAATAGAACACTATCTCAAAGTCAAAGGCTTAAGGGTTGGATCAACCAACAGTCCAAGATCCCTTTCTTCATTCACATAATGTTCCCTTCCACTAGCTTCTATGACTAAAGTTCAATTGTGTGCAACTTGATTCTTGAATTATATAACTTGTAAGTTAAAAATCCAAATAATAATAATACAACGTAGCTAGAAGAAAAACAAATATCTGTTTGAACTACTACAGTAATCTGGAAAAACTTAATACTGGAACAACTTTCAATGTTATACGTTGCATAATTTATAAATATGGCTTACACTGTTACAGCAATAACAACGTGCTTAAGATTTACCAAAATATAACTTAATTCAACAGGACCCAGCGAGACTTGTCAGTTGTTTATATGAATAATCTTGGTATGTACTACGTAATACACTATTGTTACAAGTGTGATCTTTATGGCCCAATAAGCAATATATGATTGCATCTTATGCCACTACCTTTCTAATTTGTTACGATTTATTTGCATAACCTCACTTATCTCATAATTAAATGCCACCTGCCATGTGTGTATTCAATTTTATAGGGAGAAATTATTTTATGCATTACCACAAAAAAAAAACTAACAAAATAAATGATAACTAACCAGTAATTTTGTTTTTGGACGAATAAAACATTTGATCAATGCTGGAATCGTGAACCCTCTTCTAACCAAGGCAAACGCCATTTTACTCTAGAACCCAGAAATTTACTTTTCGTGGTCACAGAGGTTTATATAAAACATAAAAATAGCAATTAGGTCTTATTAAGCATGTTTAATTTAAAAAAGGACATTGCAGACACAGATATATAAGAGTGTGCGTGTCTGATGTATTTTAGTTAACTGCGTGCATATATAATAGCCAAATATCTATTTGTTCTATATCTCCAGAATGGTTAACCGTACAAAAATGTATATATCAAAATTGAAGAGAGTTGTTTAAACTCTGGCTCACAGATATACACCCCAATGAAAGAACAGACTATTCCAAGCTTTTACTTGTTGTTAAACAAATGTTTAAACAACTCTATTCAATTATGTACAAGCTGCCCAGTGTCGGCTAACAATACGAAGAATTAAATTGCGGCGGAGTGTTACAAGTTCTTTAAATACCTATAGAATGATAGGTTTCTTTTTCGTGAGTGTAAAACACTTAAATACACCAGTTCGATTTACTGTTGAATTATTTTAACAGCATCTGCTAGTGTGTGTGTGTATATATATATATATATCGACATAAAAATAAATAATATGTTTTTCAATAACAAGAGCAGATGTGACAAATATTTTAGTATATCTCAACATGTTTGTTTCAGAAATTTCGTGCAATGCTACAGAAATGGCTATTTGTGCAATAGTCTATGAACCTCATGATTCACAGTCAGACTGTGCTAACGGTTAGGTCACACCTAGCCCAAATCTCAGCAGGAAAGATGAGTTTTAAAATCTGTAGAGTATAAATTGCTTTACATATATGTAACGATTTCCTTTTCATTTAATATATTTTATGCTAAGACCAACGACATATTGCAAGCTGACTAACAAACAAATCGTGCTTAAACAAGGGAACTTGAAGTTAATATTAAAAAAAAAAAAATCAATAGAAAAAAAAGCTGAACTTTGAAACCGTCAATTTGTTTGTAATCTAAAATTCTAAGCATTAATTTGACAATGCATGTGAAAATAATCAGTACTTTTAGTTAAAGACGATTTCCTGAAAGAGTAAAGAAGGCAGATCCGCTATATAACGAAAGGTTTAACAAGATATATTGTAAGCTAATTGTAAATTTCCCAGAAATGACAGAGTTTGCATAAGAGAATAAACAATGAAATAATCTTTATTCTCACAACATTAAGCAATGTTGTATGAAGTCTGCACTTTTGGATGCCAAAAACATTTATTCACTTGTTTGAATTCCGCGCAAAGCTACACGAGGGCTATCTGCGCTAGCCGTCCCTAATTTAGCAGTGTAAGACTAGAGGGAAGGCAGCTAGTCATCACCACCCACCGCCAACTCTTGGGCTACTATTTTAACAACGAATAGTGGGATTGACCGTAACATTATAACGCCCCCACGGCTGAAAAGGCGAGCATGTTTGGTGTGATGGGGATTCGAACCCGCGACCTTCTGATTGCGAGTCGAGCGCCCTAACCACCTGGCCATGCTGGGTCATTTTTTTTTACTGGAGAGATGGTTTGAACTGGCTGGGTATACTTTCTCAAAACTTATTTCGAAGCTGTCTGACTTACTCGAGATTATGTTTCCGATTGACTAAATCTCCTGTTACTTAGTTGAATTGATAATGTCAGACTTACCCAGAGTGATTAGCATTACCCACGTGACTGATCATTTCAATTAAAACATAGGAGAAGGTGTAACCTCGAGACACCACCTAACCTACCTTTTGAGGGTATTGCTGCCGACCCTTCCTGCAAAATTGCAGTTTTACAGCAATATCTTCCATGGGTAGACCAGATGTTATCTACAAAGAACGAATCAGAACACAGACAGACTTGACTACATGTTACATAAAACTACACATACCGAGAATAAACAAAATTTTTGGAAATTTTCTATATTAAAATCAGAAAGTAGAAAATTTATGGTATGCCTACGAATTTTTCTTTTCCTTTCTCCTCTAGTTAAGGATTGTCCTCAAGTCAGCATTAATTTTAACTTTAAAACAAATTTAATTTACAAACACATGTTGGCCAAGGAATGCTATAACTTTCTTTTGTCCCTGTAAATACTTACGTGCAGCACAGATGACACAACCCTTTGACAGAGATACTGTTTCTTATAGTCACTTCACAAAAATATCATTTGACCAAGATTACAAGTTCAAATATTAGCTTAATCATAAAGGCACAATAATAAACAATGCGTAATTTTCATATTAGAAATCAAAATACCTTTTAACAAAGATTATGCATGTAGTCCAACATATGATTACATGTAATAAAATAAAAATACTCGTTATTGATGAATATTGAACATAACAATACTCACATCATAAAGAAAACTTTAACATAGATCATACAGATATCACAATTTTAAGAAAATACTCTTTATAACACGTAGACCAAATACAGTATTTTACAAAACAAAGAAACAGACAGACCCTTTAG